GGCAACACAAAGTTTGGATTTGCCCTAATAAAGTGTCCATCTAGAGTACAGCTACAATAGTTTATGCAAATTTGATTTTAACAAAATGCATCTCCTTATAGCCATCCTTTTCAAACAGTAATCCTATGTGATTGTCATCAATAGGTGATAGACATGAGTAACCACTACCCTTGCTATAGATACCCAAACTACCAGCCCAACTCATGCCTTCGTCTAGACTCCAGCGGAGGGTCATGTTAACTCTGCTGCTTTTATCAAATGGGTTCGAGAAAAACATCACTCCCTGATGAATTAGTGTGCTTGCAAAACATCCAGGTTCCAAAAGTGTCAAGTCAACACGTAAATTTGACATTGGGAACGTCTTCCCACCATCATCACTGTAGAAAATGAGACGATTCCTCGAGTGAAAGAAATGCTGGTTTCTGGCGCTGTCTCTTATACACATCTAGATATACATACATATATACATATGGCCCGGGCCCTGGGTCATCTTTGCTAAACGGGCCCATTGGTTAGGGGTCTGGGCCCCCAAGATTTAGTGTTTAGTAGCAGATTCCTGGCGTTTCCCCACTCTGGAAGCTACGACGTTTTAACGGATTAGAGGACTACCGTAGTAATCGAGTATAGAATACCTAATTTCACCAGGTCACCAAAGATAAAGTATAGAAACATGAAAAGTAAAAGCTATCCTTCCTTTTATTCAAACGTGCTGAAAGATCCATAACACAGGTATCAAAGTTTACAGTGACGGATCCAGGAATTTGAAATAGGCCCAGAGAAGGACTTTCACAAATGGACTGTCTATCTACCTCAGCCCCACCAATTGTAATGATTTGTACATTAAAAATAAATAAATGTATATATATATATTAAAATATATTATATATATCACATTGAATTTGAAAGAGAATTACAAATTATAATTTAATTATTATAATTATTATTAAATCGTCAAACTCCCAATGTTATTTGCCTATTCCCCGCGTCCAATAATTTTTCTATTAGTGGTGGACACTTGGCTTGATTTTTTTAGGTTCGTGTGCAAAAAAAAATTGCTCATTTTTAGTCACCGCGAATACATCGCGCACAATTGTAATTGAAAATTACTTTCGTAAAACAAGCTTAATTAGAACCCGAAGAAAGTTACTTCAAATTCAATATTAAGTATGAACAATTAAGGAATTCATTAAATCAATGGACCCTCATAAACACAACAAAATTGAACGTTTAATAGGAATATTCTAGACTATTTTAAAGATTCAAGGAACAAATTTAGATGTAGGCCTATGGCTAGGCAGGAGGCCGCCCGGGCCTCCTCCTACTACTTCTAGGCCGTCCTAGCCTAGTTATGAAATCATCGCACGATTTTACCTGTCTGCATACACCGACCTAAAAAGGAAATCAGTGATTGTATTCTCTCTCGAATGCTGAAATGTTTATATCTTTGACGAAAGTCTATCAAAATAGCATTACAAACAAGTTCTTTCTAACAATAGTTATTCATCGTATCCGTACTGCTGTACTGCTGATGTGTAGTTAATTAAACACGTACTGCAGGAGCAAACGCATACGCACAGCTAAATGTAAATCAAAGATACTAGAAATACAAGATATCTTTGATGTAAATATGCACACGTATACTGATCATATCACTATAGCAACCGATGACTGCTACAACAGTTTGTCATAAAAAAAACTAAAATTAAAAGACTGCAGTTGACTTATAAAGCAATCAGTAGAGCATGCATCGTACACTAAATGGAAAATTATTATACTTAGGTTAGATTTAATGCATTCAAAAATTTCCTTTGGGCCTTGCAGGCCCTCAGGAAATTTTTTCAAGCATTAAATCTAACCTTCGTATAATAATTTTCCTATAGTGTACTATGCGGAGCTCTACTAATTGCTCAATATTACAAATTACATCAAAAATTAAATTAAATAAACATTGGTAATATATATGATCAAGTATAAATGATCAAAATTATTGTCACAAAGAACATACTTAGTTTACTTTATTGCTTTTTTACACATTTTGCAGGAGGCACATAAAATTTCACAATATTTGTTAATATACCAGTAACTATTTAATAATAATAATAATAATAATAATAATAGAGATGATAATAATAATAATAATAAATAATAGTTATCATAATGATTTCTAAAAAGCACACATCCACCCAAAATTGTGTTCTCAAGGTGCAGTGTTTTAAATATATCCCATTTTTGTGCATGTAACTTTTTATATGTTCACTAAAGGCATGGTCAGTCTCAGTCTAGAAAGTTTTGGAAGGAATACATGATACAATAGTCCAACCAGGGAACAGTGAAATTTAAGTAATTTCACTGTTCCCTGGTCCAACCATATAATGACAGCATCATTTTGTGATTTTGGACTTGGCAACACAAAGTTTGGATTTGCCCTAATAAAGTGTCCATCTAGAGTACAGCTACAATAGTTTATGCAAATTTGATTTTAACAAAATGCATCTCCTTATAGCCATCCTTTTCAAACAGTAATCCTATGTGATTGTCATCAATAGGTGATAGACATGAGTAACCACTACCCTTGCTATAGATACCCAAACTACCAGCCCAACTCATGCCTTCGTCTAGACTCCAGCGGAGGGTCATGTTAACTCTGCTGCTTTTATCAAATGGGTTCGAGAAAAACATCACTCCCTGATGAATTAGTGTGCTTGCAAAACATCCAGGTTCCAAAAGTGTCAAGTCAACACGTAAATTTGACATTGGGAACGTCTTCCCACCATCATCACTGTAGAAAATGAGACGATTCCTCGAGTGAAAGAAATGCTGGTTTCTGGCGTTAATCAGAAGTCTTCCATCAGACAGCTCCACAATCTTCAAAACAATTTAGAGTATGTAATCAATACAGTTATCTAATTTATATTTGTATGTATTTTGCTATTCACTTTTTTTACAGGGGGGTATCTAGGAGTCTTGATATGTGGGGCTGATGGCCTGGGGGGTGTGAAGGTGAAGCTCGATAATTAGGTGAGAGCTGCTAGCTCGCAAAATAAGGTTTGAGCAGAATTTAACTTTGAGCATGATTTTTTTTTTTGGGGCAAACTGGGGGGGGGGGAGATATTATTTTGGCGGGGAGTGCGCCCTCTGGTGCCCTCCCCTAGATACGCATGCCTTCTAAATTGAAATTGGAAAGTTTTTCGCTAAGCAATCCATCAGGCCCACGATTTTAATTTTAATTGTGCCTGAAAAATGTCTTAATAAAACAAATAAAATAAAATTTTGATTCTACAGACATTAGAATTGCAAAAATGCATTAGGCCAAAAAGAAAACAAAAATTCTTTTGTTGGCCACGTTTTGTGAAAATCCAAAAAAAACGGATAGGTCGGTAGGAAAAGTTTTAGGTCGGTCGGACGTGGCCAAGACAATATTTTTTTTCATACACAAGCATGAGGAAATGAATGATAAAGAGGATGAAGATGGATGATGAAGATGTTGTGGTTGTTGTTTATTCAGGAATTCACATAACATCAAAAGGATGCTGGAGACCTTCTAAAAAAAGTGCGACACCATTGACACTACCAACACTAGCACGCACCTGTCTCTTATACACATCTAGATGTGTATAAGAGACAGTATATATGTGATGAGGTGATGATTGATTGAAAATAATAGATGACAGGGGAAACAGAGAGGTCTGAAAGGGGCAGAGTCCGATTTAGAGACAACACTACCCTATATGCCTACAAAAAATTTCTGAGGCGTTTTGGGTGATCAATAATCTTTTTCTTGTGTTTTTTTTTCTTTTATTTTTACTTTTCAAAAGAGATGGGGGGAGGGGAGCTGGATGATGATGATTTGTCCCTAATTACCTTGACCTTGTGTTCAATGATGTTGTGACAATGAATGATAATGTGGAATATAATGATGATGATGGCTAATTATATTGTTAAAATTAGTGACCATCCCTTGAACCATACTACTTACCTGTGGTTCTCCAGGTGTAAAATCTCCAACATTCTTTGTCATATTGTTTGGCAAATAAACAGTAAACTCACTCTGTGTCCAGGTCTCACCATGATCTACACCAGATGAAATAGTTCAGAAGATTTGAACATTTTACATTTAAATTAATACAATCTTCTTTGTGGTTCTGTAGACGAAAAATTAAAAATATTTGCAATGGCAAAGCATATATTATTGTTCGACATCCCCTATGTGTAATAAATGCACTTACCATCACTGTAAATACAAGTCATCAACCCATATGTTGAGTTACCCCAGTGGCCGCATGCAAAAAGCCTTCCAACGTTTGGTGCAAGTTTCTTCTGGATACCGTAGCCGGGTCCAGGTGCCCAGTTCCAACCTTCGAAGAAAGGCGATTTCTCCGCCAAGTCAACAGGTGGAGACCAAGTATAACCATGATCATAGCTCACCGTTTTAAAATTCGTTGGCGTGTACTTGGAAAAGTCGCATTCATTGTGAATACAAAAAGAATATATGAAGATGATCGCACCTGTTTGTTCGTCCACAATAGCATTGCCTAAATTTAAACCATCCGTGTTCATGTAATCATCGACCACAAAAACGCTAGGCCCCCATTTATTACCACCGTTTTTAGATCTTCGCATAATGATGACCTTCGCTGAGGCATCACCGTGACTGATTTTTCGAGCCCCCGCAAATGCTAGGATATCGCCATTCAGGGCTCGAATCATCACTGGAGTTCTATACTCACTAATTTCCGCATCTTCGCCCGAAACCCATAAGTTTTGCTCTAAAACAACTTCAGGTTTCACTGAAAAACCATTAATGCTTATTGCACAAAATATATATGCGCAAACTAGCGATCTAAATAATTTGTTCATCAGGCCTTCCATGATCATCGATGGATTTTGAGCGATCACGTGATAAATCATGTGACAATACAAAACAATGCTCTCGTGACCTACCTCTTTGTCTAGTCTTCGAGCATCGTCATCGCAAATTGAATGATGAATATTCATGAAGGCATTTTTTCCCGAAGTTCAAATCCTTGTTTTTAAGTGACGTCACCGCATTTTACTACTGTGGTTTTTCTGCGTCACTGTCAACGCTCTGCTGCCTAAAACGCGTCACACGAGCTCAAAACTCTATGCTAATGCTCGAATAAAAGCGCCGCGGCGCTTTTAACATTATTGGAGGGATTCATTGTGGCGCTCATTCATGAGCGGTGTTGATAAAAAAAATAAAATATTGGAGTGGCGCTTTCCAAAATGAAACAGTCACCTTTTCAGCTCCTTTTAATATTTTCTACCCCATTTTCTACCCCATCATGGCTAGGGCTGAGGTAAGAAAATTTATGATTAGGGCATCTCTGATAGCTGGAAAACACTCTCGCACTTAAATTTGAATATATTTTTCTTTTTTATCCCCTTAAAAATGAGGGGGGGGGGGCGGTCCTTGAATCCACCTCCGCTCAAATCATTCTTTATCCAAAATTGTCATCACGAAATATGGGCATGAAAAACCAGATCTCATGTTAATGTAGGGACCTTCTCCTCAGCAGTCACTAAGTACTCTGAGTCAGGTGCCGACTCGATGGAGTTTAATGTCATACCCAGGAAAGGGCACAGATCTGTTTTGAAAGGTGGAGTTGGAGGACATTTTGTGAGTCAACACCCACCTCAGACCCACTATGGTTGGGGCTGAGTGGCGAAAATTTGAGAAAATAGTACCGCAAGATGGCTAGAAAATGACACTTTTATCAAAATTCATCATCTATCACATCATCATTAGTCAAAATAAAGCGCCTATTAGGGATTTTTAGCAACATAGAAATCTTACGTGTGTGTGATATACCATAGAAGAACAAAGCATAAAACATTGTCTTTGAGTATGTATTTTACATACTTCAAAACAGTGATTCCACAACCACCTCAGCCCCACCATGGTTGGGGCTGAGGTGAGAAAATTTGAGGAAATAGTACCGGAAATGACACTTTTATATAGTAAAATTCATCATCACATCACCATTATATATTCAAAATGAAACGCCAACAAATTTCTCATGATCTATTATCAAGGATCTACTTAATATCCAGAACAACTTAAGCCTAACTATAGCTTACTATATAAGCTTTAACTATACTATAATAATTATGATCAACGAACCACAACTTGTTTTCGCATTTAGCACAATTTTCTTCACTTTTTAATGTTATTAATATTATTATCAATTATCACTATCGTCGTCATCATCATCATCATCATCATCATCCTCATCATCATCATCATCATCATCATCATCATCATCATCATCATCATCTTCTTTATTATTATTACTCCTATTAGTAGTAGTACGGTATTATTAAAGAAACTTGCAAAAGGATAAAACCAAACTGGACCATCAGTATCACATTTCTATATCTTAAAAGACCTGGCCTGAAATTTATGGATTTAAGATTTTTTTAAATCACGCTTAGGCTTATGTGTTCTATTATAGGCCTATATTATGTATAACGTGTACTGATGCATATTTACATGTTTTAGAAGTATTCATTTTGAGTGATTCCAGGAAAGAATTTGTATTGGCTCAAAAAATGTTAACACTGTGTTCAAAGGAGTGGGGGGGGGAGACGCGGCTCCCATGGCTCCCCCTGGCAGGGAGGGACCTTGACAGATAGAGGGTCTATACCACCTCAGCCCCACGTGGCTGAGAAATTTATGATTATGGAACCTCTAGATGGCCCGGGAAATGGCACTCTCAGACTTCAATTTGAATATACTTTTTTTTCTCCATTTTAAACAATAATTTGAAAAAATTAGGGCGGATTGCCAGGGCGACTGGATCCCCGCCACCTGAATCTGCAAAAATAGTAATATTAATGGAAAACAATAACAAGAGTGGAAGCGACAGCGGGACTACGTATAAGATATTTATTTGTGATCTGGAATATAGATATTTATTTGTGATCTAATCAACGTTTATTTTAATTAAAAGTTCTCAGTTTTGGCCCATCCTAACCATTAAATCTCCCCAAATGAATCCTATCACGAATTTCATAGAGCCACGGGGGCCAAAGCTATAAGTGGCCCATGGTGAACCTCGGTGTCGGAACCCCGTCAGGAAGAACTGCCCCCCCCCCCACCCACCTCCCGTGGGGGAGGAAAAGCACAATTCATCGGGGAGAAAAATTAGTGGACTCTAAAATCCATAAATAAGCCTTTGAAATCCCTAAATTGTGTAAATTTTCGGTGGCTTCGCCCCTGGACCACTTTCGATAACTTTTAACCGACGTTCGACTAAGCTCGCTTTCCTTTCGTAGTGGAAATCTGACCCCGATTTCCCCCCCCCCCCTTCGTCGGGAACCTCGGCCATTCCCCCACGTTGACAATCGGTGAGGAATTGTCAACGCAGGGGAGATACATTGATCTAATAGAAATCAGGATTGGACCTGCAGGAAGTTCCTACCCGATAAAGGCAACACTAGGCCTACACTGTGTGAACTTTGTCGGTTTTCTCTTGACAAACGAGTTATTTTATCATGAACAGTGAACCTTTAGTTGAACCGTGTAACTATGATCCATCTTTCAAAGGTAACTTTGTGAACTTATCCAATTTATAAAAAACGTAGATTTAGGATTTTTTGTGCTGGTAAAATCGAAGGCCGAGGTTAGGCCCTAGTAGTAGTAGGCTAGGCTCGGTCTCTCTCCAGGCTAGGCTTAGGCTAGCTAAGCCTAGCTCCTGACTGAGTTTAGTTTAGTACTTCAGAGGCGGCCTAGGCCAAGTTCTAGGTATTTACTATTTTTAATAGGATAGGCGTGGGTCCCTATTAGGTAGGCCAAGGCCCATGACTAGGCCTTTTAGGTTAGTATAGTAGTAGGCAAGGCTAGAATAGATTTCTAGATGCTCGAAAATGCATTCAGGATCTCCATTTTTTCCTTGAGCACCTATGCATGGGATATTTATTATTATGACTTCTGTGTCTGTTTTCACACAACATTGAAAGAAGCAAAAATGTAACACATTAGCAAGGGTGGTCCAAGAAGTGCATTACAACATTAATATAATATAATTTTTACTTTAAGCTTAATGGAAAAAAAAGAATGCACTTGTTCATGGTATATATTGAAATTTATAAAGGAATGTAAGACTATTTAATGTTGTCATATTTATTACTTTGTTGCCAGTTGACATACGCTCTCATGAGCCTTTGTGGTGTTGTACCTTGACTTCCTCGGACGTCCTTGTGGAGATGTGCGCACTTCTCTCTCAGCTAGAATCAATTTGTAGAAAAGAAACAGAGGTAAATGTACATGTACAATATTTGAAGTGCATAAGTGTTGAGCAATATTTGAAATAATACAAATTTTATTATTTAACTAGAAATTATACCTTATTGCACATATCCAGCAGAACTTCATTCCATCATACCCATCTTGTAACCTCCTCCACTCCCGTGGGAGTATTCCTAGTTAGGCATGTAATTCAACACTTTTAAATCATTTAGCTCCACTAGCTACTGATTTTTACTTCTGTGTGAAGAGAGGCAAACAAAGTGATCTTTTCCATGGATAATATGCTGTATGATGAGCATCAGTCTCAAACCCACAGGCCACAACCTCATTATTGAAAGTCCTGTAATTGCTATCCCATAAGCTATCAAATTTAAAAATTCTATTAATCATTCTATTAATACTATATAATTGTAAAAACATGATAAAGTACAGTAACTTTGTTGACAGGCTGCAATAACTGTTCATGCAATGCTTTATACTGAAATGGAAGTCACCTATTTCTTTTAATTGCTATCCCATAAGCTATCAAATTTAAAAATTCTATTAATCATTCTATTAATACTATAATTGTAAAAACATGATAGAGTACAGTAACTTTGTTGACAGGCTGCAATAACTGTTCATGCAATGCTTTATACTGAATTTAAAAATTCTATTAATCATTCTATTAATACTATAATTGTAAAAACATGATAGAGTACAGTAACTTTGTTGACAGGCTGCAATAACTGTTCATGCAATGCTTTATACTGAAATGGAAGTCACCTATTTCTTACTTGTTTGTATTCTTGGGCCGTCTTGAAGCATAAATGCTTATTTGGCCCACTCTTCTTCAGGTCATAATACTTCTTCATGGTGGCGTAAATTTTGCTGGGTACCGATCCAGTCCATGAGCCAGTCCATTTCATGGTTTTTTTTTTTTTTCTTTCATAGAAGTGGCAGAAAACTAATACACTGTCATATTATTTGCTGTGAGACATTATGTAAATCCCTAGTGAATCTAAATAAAAAGTCTATTCCCCAACCGCAGTAGGGGGTTAAGCTTTAGTCGCTTATTAGGATTCGTGCATCCTTAGTCAGCACTGGTCGAATTTTGGTCATCTCGGACTTAAGCGCCTCCTACCTTATATACAGTAAAACTTTAGTGAATGTTCTTTCCAGTATTCATTTAATCCAGACTTGAAAGTATTTATTGAAGGTGCATTCACCAACTCATCAGGGAGCAGGGACATATTGATGGGGGGGGGGAGCCTTGGGAGCCGCGGCCTTCCCCCTCCCTTTGTAAAGAGTTAGAATTTTAAAGCTTGTTCTTGTTAGCCAATAGGCCTACAAATTCTTTCCTGGGATCACTCAAAGTAAATACTTCTCTAAAATTTGTTACCAAATGATCGATGACACAATAAACCACTAATAAAATTCAAAAATATGACGATACTTTTGAGAACGATCATTTCAGGCAATGCCTGAACAATTTAATAAGGCCTAGCCATTGCTAGGCCTTACGCTACATACATGTTTTGACAGATCCTACTGTCAAGTCATCATCAGTGTACAGAGATTCCATATAGGCAATCTTATTTAAACGAAGTGAAGTTTGTAATACGTCAATCTATACATAATTCAACCGTATCAAGTTGTGAACACCAAGATCATGAATAAAAACAATGTATAATTAATGGTAGACGGAATGAAGTAAAATCAGAATGACAAAGTTCAATTAACATGGTAAAGTTGTTTGTTGAGTGAGGGCTGCTCCCATTGAATATGTAATGCCTCCTTTATTTTAAGATGATGAATTGATGGGGCGGAGTCAAGAATACGGAAACAGTCCTCACTACAAGTTTGCATGCATTTGCGT